TCATCTGAAAGTGGCCAGCAGGTGGCAATAAAGGCCATACTCTGGCCTGGGTCTCACCCACAGGTGTTAGGAGCAGGCAGTCCCAAGGCAAGGGCGTCTAGTTTTTCTTCGAACCGCTGTGGCAGTGCTTTGCAAAACTCTGAGACTGCATCCCCCACTCGCATACACACACAAGAAGACACTCTTTGCTAGTGCAAGGATCAGGAACCAAGGCTCTTTGGGAATAAGAGGTGGGTGGGTCTCAAGTAACACTACAGGACAGGAGCTGATGTCCAAGGAGTGTCCCCAAGGGCAGTGTCTATGATTAGGTATGAACATGGTGCTTGAAAACTGGGGTGCAGCCTGAGGCCAGTACCCTTGATATCTCCACCTCAGGTCACTGGGGAGCTCTGATATGTCAGGGTTTGGGAACCTATACTGGCTTGTCTACACTTGAGATCCTGCTGGCCACTAACTGCTCCAGGTTGAAGACGTGGCAGGAAACTAAAGGGGCCACGGCATCACAGGGACACAAGGAGAGTGGGTCCTGGCAGGTAGCAGGCAGGGCAGAAAGGTGGCTGTGTCTGCCCAGTCTCTTGTCTATCACAGCAAAGCATGGCAGGTCTGGGGTGAACCTGTAGAGAGCTGTTTCTCAGTGCTGGAGGCTGAAGTCTAAGAAAGACCCATCTGTGAGTAGGGCTGGTTCCTCCTGTGACCTCGCTTCCTGGCTTGCAGTATCTGTCCTCTCACATGGCTAGCTCTCCGTATGTAACCTTCTCTTCTTGAGGCCTCAGATACAGCTGGGCATGGGAGCACATGTGTAGCACTGAGGAGACAAAAACAAGAGGATCATGAGTTCAAAGCCAGCCTTGTCTATATAGCCAGAAAGTGGGGAGATGCTGTAGGAAACGCAAAAACAAAAGGATAGAATCACACTAAACAAGGCCCTGTACAACCTGTACCCTAACTCTCCTGTTGATGACTCCTCTCTACCAAATATAGTCCCATTCTGAGGAGCTGGGCGAGGACTCAGCAGTGATGAGAAATCCAGGCCATCAGATTATAGTCACCAGGCTTTGCTCAGACAAGTGTTGCTGAGACGCCTGCAGACCAGCATGGCTGTGCTCACCAGTAGATAGGACTTACAAGCTCCAGGAAGGGTGGAGGCCGAGGGTGGGTGGGTCTGGAGCCTGGCTGCTCTCAGGCTACACCTATGTGCGGCCCCTCCCTACTTCTCTTCTCACAAAGGGGACTCCAGTGGGCTCTTTTAAGTCCCACCTGACTGGGTCTAGTCCCAATCTTTCTGGAATTGTTTTGATTTCATTCCCTCCAAAATTAAAACTATTCGTTATTGACCATTTTTGTTCAAAATATTTTGAGCAAAAGCCTCCGAAGCATTCTACTGGGATTTGGAACACACCTTCCTATTGCTGCTAAGAAGTGTTAACAGCAAAGGTAGTAACCTGAAATAAAACAAAATCCCATTCTCTTACAGTTCTGCAACCAGAAGGCTGCCTGGATCTTTCTACTAGAAAGAAACCAAGAGGCTATCCCTCAGCCTGCTAGTGAGTGCCTTCAACCTCAGCACTTGGGAGGCAGTTGAGGCCAACCTGGGCTACATAGTTGAGATCCCATCTCAAACAAACAGGAAAAAAAAAAATGCAGTGATAAACAGTTGGCTGAGAGGCCAAGGGACAGCCATCATCTGTTTACCCTGGCCAAACTTGTAGAAAAAAACTAAAGTTCTCACGCTCCAGCCTCCACACCTGGGATGGAGTGTTTCCTGGCTTGCAGTGCAGCATCCAGACATGAACACAGGCTGAACCCTCTCTCCTCATCCCTTGCATTGCTTTCTCAGGGCTCATGGGCCCAGACTGGACCAGTTGAATAGCCTGGGATAAACTCACCTCTTCAAGGACTCAGCCTTTACGATGCCTGTGAGTCCATGTGGCATCGGTTCCATGGAACCTTCAAACTGGCCTGCCTCCCACAAAGAATCTAACCTATCTCTGAGGCTTTACCAAAGCAGAGAAAAATAAGATAGTAAGAAACCACATACGCCTCCCGGGGGCCCATTACAGCCTCCAGAAAGGCCACAGAAAACAAACAGCAGCAAAGAGTTGGGGGGGGGGGTGGCCAGTGCTTTCGAGGTTTAGGGGAAGCTTCACAAGACTCAGCATTCAGAAAAGCCTGTCACATAGGAACTGAGCGTTTTGATTTAGGATTAGCCAAAGAGGCAGAAGAATGGATGGTGGGAAAGGTAGAAGGGGTGAGCGTGTCATAAGTGAAATTAGACTTGAGGACACAACTTGGGTTCTCTTTCTAGCAGGACCAGACTCCCAGAATCTTGTTTCAAGGAAACTGCTTATCAACTGGAGGGGGACACTACGGCATGGAGGATCGAAATCCTGCTGAAACTGCTGAGGAGGAAGCGGCAAGCCTGTTGACAATGGGTGTGGCTAGGCATAGAAGCAGGCCTGCAGTACAATGAGCAAGACCGGGATAACAAGCAAAAAAAAGGGGGGGGGGGGGCTCATTGTCTGTCTGTCCGTGAAGTCCTGGTCAATCCCTGGGACTGCATAAGGCTGTCAAGGTAAGAGACAGCAACCCCAGCACCAGTGGAGGTAGGAGGGACCAGACTGAAGGTCATCCTCTGGTGCATAGCAAGTTTGAGGCCAGCCTGGGATACATGAGGTAAATAATAAATACAACAAATTAAGTTTAAAAATCTTTAAATTAAAACCAATCTCAATGAAGCAAACAAAAAGGACTGTGAGAAGGCTCAGCAGGCAAAGGAACTCAGACCCAAGCTTGACAACCTGAGTTTAATCTCTGGAACCCACATGGCATTAAGAAGCGACTCCTGCACACTGTCCACGAATTCACATGTGCTCTGGCCCGCCTGCTTCCTCTGATTCTCAAATAAGAATTTTTGAAGAAAACACGCGTCAAACTTGAAGCCGCTTGTGCCAACGGCACCAAAGACACAACAGCCATTGTGTGTGGGGGAGGGAGGCAAGAAATTGTGAGAATGCTCACTTTAGGCTTCCAGAACTTTCATACTTAGTTTTTTCACTCACACAAATCCTGTGTGAGCGCTTCGTGGAATGCAGCCACAGACGGAAAGAGCTTGGGATAGTTAGCGTCTGATGAATTGTGGCCCAATTTCCAGTCAAAATAGTTAAAGGAAGCAAGATGCGCAGCTTCTACTAGGAACTTTACTACACAATTTAAGCACCTTCTTAAAATTGTCCAATATCCCCTGGCAGTGTGTGATAACATTTCCTGACACTCCAGACGCCTAGAGAGCCAAAGTACTTGCCTGTCAGAGAACACACACACACACACACACACACACACACACACACACACACACAGCCAACCCCAGCACAGGTAGAAGCAGTTTTAACTCTGGGACACAATGAAGCCATCCTGTAATGGTTTGGACACGCATACACACCCTGGGCACACTCACTTTCCATCTACTACCACTGCCGGAAATCACAGGATTAGAAGTGATGCAGTACATTCATGATGTTTTTTTTATCACTGAGCACTAAAATGTGCCTGGGGTAACAAAGCAAAACTTTGATGCTACAGGAAGTTAATTAAAAACAGACACATTCAATCAACAGAAAGTATTTATATTTTAAACAATGTGGGCAAAAATATAAAATTTTTATTCATTTTTTTGAGACCAGATCTCACCATGTAGCCCTGGATATCCCGGGTCCTACTATGTGTAACAGACTGGCCTTGAACTTGTGATCTGTATCTCAGCTTCCCAACGGCTGGCACTACAGGAGTGCACTACCATGTTCATCTGAATTTTTTCAAATACTGATGATACTTAACTGAAACAGTATTTAAGGACATACTGGCTACACTATAAAATATATTATAATTAAAAATTATAGCTACCAAAATGTCTTCAATCTGTATATGGCTCACGTTCTAACACTCATTCAAACACACGAACCAAGACTTGTGCCTTATGAAACACCACCTTTCTGATCTAGCTCATCACAAGCATTAGTCACCATCCTTTACCCCTCCCAGGCAACCCCGGCCTTTACGGCTGTGTTAGCCAGTTGGTTCTGGACAGCTCCAGGGGTCAAGTTTCTTGGCAGCTTTCAAAGGAGATGCTAACTGAAAGGTTAATCAAGCCAGTCGGACTTGTGTGTTAAACATCCAGTTATCCTGCACAGGCGACAGGTGTGACATCACACTAAGAAGGCTGTTGAACCTACATCCACCTTCTTCCAGGGTCTAAGGCCCAGAATGGCATGTGGTATCCCGGCAAATCACTGTTCCCATGTACACAGCTCTTCTGCTCATCCAGATTTCCACGCTCAGAGCTATCTCATAGTGACAAACTCCAGCGGATAAAGGCCAGCTCTAAGGTGAGTTTCTCAGGTTGCTTAGACACAGGCACACGCTTCAGAGCACTGTAAGGCAGTCTGTGAAGAAGCTGCCTGCCTGTGCATCGCTGACCAAGATGGGGACTAGGAATGTCTCTCAACAGAAAAGTGTTTCTACAGATAACAACTATGCAAACCAGTATAATGTAAAGACGCCATCTGGTCGCCAAGAAGTCATGTGATCAGGGCTAGCCAGCAAACATGTAGGTGGAAGACAATGGTGCTTCCTGTAAAACAACTGTGTGGTGACACCCTAACACAGTGCTGTCCCTATCATGCTGTGGAGTGCAACCTCAGTAGAGCGAGGCAGGTTCTGCCCAGGCTGGGAACAGGCTCATAGCTTACATTTAGTGACTGTCCAGGCTTCCAGCCCACCTCTGCCCAGAGCCCCCTTACCACACCAGGAAAGGATAGCTGCTTATGAAATACCACCAAAACTTATTTCTTCAGGAGAAAAGTTACTTCAAAACTACTCTGCTGTTAAAGTTTTTAAAACGCCATCCAGTTTGATGAAAGTCATTTAAGTTATGTATAGAATATGAAATTATAAGTAATCACTCAATTCTAAGTTCAAAAGTTCATTTATTTAAATGTGAGCAAGTTATCAATATAAAAGAAAAGTGTAAGAAATAAAAATAATCAAAGTACAAAAACATCTCAAATCTTTAACATCCATAATTTAGACAGCAAAGTCTTTATTTACATCATTTTATTTGTAGATGAAATTTCATACAGCTTTCTGAAAACACATAGAAACCTGGCAAATTAATCCAAAGACTTAATGTGGGCTCTTAGGCATATAATACAAAACATAATTTATGTTTCCTAGAATAAGATCACACATCTTAACACGATGCAGTCAGTATTACATCTGTTTTCCTGGTAGAGGCCTCTCCCTAAGGCAGAGCTGGAAAACACGCCCTCTGCAGGGAGGGAGTCTGGTGTGCACGCTGCCAGCAGCTACCCTTGTGCTCCAGGCTCCAGGCTTGCAGCAGGCCCGAGGCTGTCAGTTAAACTTATATGTGGCCTTGTTGAGGAAAACGGTCTTCACACACGCGGCAACACGGTCACATTAAGCCAGAGCCCCCACGTGACAGAGGTAGTTCTAGTGACCACCTCCTCCCTCATTCAAGCTATCCAGTTCTGTTGCACGTTAGAACACCAGGCCCGATCAAACTCCTGCATCCATGGCGCAGCCTCTCTACTTGACACATGGGTGGAGGGTCCACCCTGCTTAGGTGACCCCAGCATATGGTCAGAGCTAAAAACGGGCACCTTATGTGGGCATCTTTTAGGCCAGCAGTGGTTCTCAAACTTTCTAATGCCACAACCCTTTAATACCTCATGTTTTGGTGACTCCCAAACATAACATTATTTTTGTTGCTATTGTGATGAATCGTAATATAAATTTCTGATAGGCAGGACATCTGATATGCAACCCCTGTAAAGGGACATTTGCTCTCCAAAGGAGCCAAAACCTGCAAGTTGAGAACCACTGGGCTATGGGAACAGGCCCAAAGATGACCAATGTGACCTGAAAAACAACTCTCCCTTTGGAAAAAGCATGGGACATATGTTCTCAAAAGCCCAGAGAAGACGTAAGAGGAAGTGCTAGACCAGATGCTGCAGCAACCCTGCCTCCTGTTACTCCCCCAGCTCAGGTGCCCAGAGGAGCAGCCCTGCCAGGCACTCCTACTGGCTCCTGCCACCCAGTGCCACCCAGCTGGGTCTTTCTGGTTCACATTTTACTGAGCTCTCCTAGGCTAAAGAGGAAGTGTTTGGGAAATGCACTCAGCTGGGTAACACCACACAGATGAAAGGACAGGGATGACAGCACTCTGACCTGGAGGCTATTCACACATTAAAGTAACCACTCAGCTGGGCATGGGGGCTAATGCCTGCAGTCCCAGCACTCAAGGCAAAAGCAGGATCACTCTGAAGCCAGCCTGGGCCACACGTGGTGCCAAGCCAACATGCAATACAGAGTGAAACCTCATCTCAAAAATCTGTGTCCTGGGGATTGGAAAGATGGCTCAGTGGTTAAGAGCACCATCTGCTCTTTCAGAGGTCCTGAGTTCAGTTCCCAGCAACCACATAGTGGCTCACAACCATCTATCTATATTAGAATCTGATGCCCTCTTCTGGTGTGCAGATGAACATGCCGACAGAGCACTAATATACAATAAATAAATCAATCTTTAAAAAAAAAAAATCTGTGTTCTTCTAAAACTAATACCTGAAATTTTGTGATATGGACTGTTAACTGTCTGGCAGGTTTTACTTCTCTCCTAAAAGCCTGAAAAACCCTTAGCTGTTCAGACACTTACTTAGCCACACCCTGCAACTTACTACAACGCTGTGTTGAGACGTGTCACTTCCTACGTCCTGGCTATGGAGGGCAGAACACAGCCCCCAGGCACTGACTCCAGTCATTTCCTGTGGGGTCTAACTGTCAAATCCTTAAACACCTGCATAAGCCAGACAGGTCCTGAGTTTCTCAGAACTCTCAAAAGGGCCACTGACTGTACATTCTGTAACAGCCAGGAAAAGGTCAGGTGACAAGAACCATGGTGGCCCTTTCTCCACCTGCAAATGCACCTTCATCCTCGCCTGTCCCGCTCTGCACCTGCGTAAAGGATATGATTCGTAGTCCAGTGTCTGTGTGAGCACCCCGGTCAGAACAAACTCCGCATTATGAACATCTGAATGGAACAGAACCAACACCGTTAGGACAAGGCCACCATTAACACTCGCAGGCCAGAGCAGAGGTGCAGGGAGCCATACCTATTCCTCTGGCAAAGTACTCTCGACACAAGTGCAGGTCATTCTCACAGGATATTAAAATGATCTCTGACAGACTCTAGGGAGGAGAGAAAGCTCATGAGTGAGGGAGAAGCACCCACACGGGACAGCGCTGGCTTCTCAGGGCCCTGCTCTCTCACCTTGTTCTGCTTATGCTCCATGAGCTTCCGGAAGGATGGCTGCTTGGCTAACACCTTCCCCCCTGCGCACTCTACAATCGCCTTCATCGTTGCAAGGCTGGGGCAGATGCCAGGGGTGATATAGAAATACTTTGTCTAGAAGTAAACAGAAACATGCTTTTTAAATGTTTCCTAATTGCAGGACTTTTCATAAATTGGACCCCAAGTTTTTCTGCTTTGTTTTTTGTGGTTACTACACAAAGGCAGGGTCTGTGTAGCCGTGGCTGTACTGAAACTTTCTATGTATATCAGGCTGGCAGAACTCTCAAAAGGGCCACAGACTGTACATTCTGTGACAGCCAGGAAAAGGTCAGGTGACAAGAACCATGGTGGCCCTTTTTCAACCTGCAAATGCACCTTCATCCTCGCCTGTCCCTGCTCTGTACCTGTGTAAAGGATATGATTCGTAGTCCAGTCTCTGTGTGAGCACCCCGGTCAGAACAACTCTGGCTGTCCTGGAACTTTCTATGTGTATCAGACTGGCCTTGAACTCAGAGATCTGCCTGACTCTGTCACCCAAGTGCTGGGATTTGAAGGTGTGCTATCACCTGGCTCTATTGCGATTTTTGACAAAATATCTAATTTTCCAGAACTATGCAGCTATCTGTCCTGAGACACACAAGGAGCTAGCTGAGCGCTTTCCACATCAATTGCGGCCTGTGGCCTGTAAAAGTAACCACATCAGCTGCCCGTGGTCAATCTGAACACATTAACAGTAAACTCAGGACTCTGTTAATGCACTAGTGTTGTATTAAGGGCAGAAATCAAAACACTTCCCTTCATGTCATTTAACCAAAGTCAAGCCCAGAATTTGAATTTTTTCCTTCTCTCCATGTGTCTTCCATCCTTCCCTCTCCACAGTAGGAGTCTGAATCTGCCTGTGTGAAGGCTGTCTCGTGAATCTGTCCCTGGTTCTGTCCCTCACAAAGGGTTTTCCTCTCTCCCTTTTACTGAACAGCACATAAATGATCACATGGGGAGGAACGAAGGATTCTTCACAGAAATCCTTAGCTGAGTTTTACAAGGGTTTAAGCCACAGACTCCAACTAGTTAACGCCCAATGATCCAGACAATGGACAGTATTCTAACAGACCACATGACTGTTTATCAAGCAGTATCCACATGGTAAGTTCAACATTTATGGTGGAGATGTGTTTATAAGATAGCTTTTAACCCACCTGCTATTTCCAGCAAAAATGAACAGAACCCACCTTCAAGCACAATGCATTACTCTCAGGTCAGGGGCATAAGAGTAAAGCTATGTATTAGCTTAGGTTGGAAAAGCGGATTACATGGTAAATCCAAGGGAATGAGGTTGACTGTTAAACACTGCTCTCTCTCTCTTTTTAAGGTTTATTTTACTTATTATTTATACAGCGTTCTGCCTGTATATATGGCAGCAAGGCAAAAGAGGGCACCAGATCTCATAGATGGTTATGAGCTACCATGTGGTTGCTGGGAACTGAACTCAGGACCTTTGGAAGAACAGCCAGTGCTCTTAACCTCTCTGTGAGCCATCTCGCCAGCCCCCTACACTGCTCTCTTAAAGGCAGGCTCAACAAACAGGCACGGTACACTGCGGGATAGCAGTCTAAGTGTCTTAGCGACCCCAAGCTATATTGTTAGCTCTACTGTGAGGCCCAGTAAAAGTTACATTCTAAGAGAGCGCTTATCTAGCAAATATTTAAAATATAGACTCCTAAATTTTAGGTTTAGCTTTCAATCAGTATTTTCTCAAGTACCTTCTCTAGTGGAATACACCTTTAATGAGAACAACACAAGCAAGGCCCACTAAGATTTGTTAAAAGCCAAAAAACAAAACAACCAGTTGTGGTTGTGCACACCACAACCAAACAAACAACAGCCCTTAAATGTCTCTTACCAGTTCACTTATTCATCAACACACACTGAGTCCCTTATCTCTGACAGGTGTACACATTAGGTTATTGTAGCAATTTTCTCATCAGAATGGAGAGTTTCCCTGTGGCCAAGTACGGCGGAACATGGCTTTATTCCCAGTACTCAGGAGACAGAGAGAGGCAAGAGGGTCTCAGAGGCCAGCCAGGCTTATATACCAAGGCCAGCCCAGTCTGCTCTATGCAGGGAGACTCCGTTACTGTCTCTTAAGATGTGCTACGTTCCCTTGCAGAAAGAGTAGCCACGAAATGGAAAGGACAGGGGATGAGCCCGTCCATCACCAGGCTACTGTCAGGCTCACTTGGCTCTACAGGGGCTTTCCTTCCCAGCATACCTTAAAGAGGGGAGAAACATGGGCTCGCTTTAAGGACTCTTCCAGACTGAAAGAGAAGAGCACTTCCGCCTCAGCGTCTCGCAGGATGTAGTTCTGCTCATCTGGAAAACAGAACAGTGCATGCTCTGAAAGACGCAGTCCTGCATAGAGGCAGGTCCACATGCTGGCAGGACATACTACCCACACCCACACTCACCCAAGACTTGGACATTGTCCTGGCTGTTTTTATGCCAATTTGACATACGCTAGAGTCATCTGAGAGGAGGGAACCTCATTTGGGAAACTGTCTCCATATGCAGTATGTAAGCCTGCAGGGCATTTTCTTTGTTAATGTTTGATGGGGGAGGGCTCAGTCCACTGTGGGTGGTGACACCCCTGGGACTTGGGTTCTATAAGAAAGCAGGCTGAGCAAGCCATGTAGAACAAGACAGTAAGGAGCACGCTCCATGGCCTCTGCATCAGCTCCTGCCTTCAGGTGTCCACCTTGCTTGAGTTCCTGTCCTGACTTCCTCGGATGATGAACAGTGATATGGAAGTGTGTGCAAACTAAACCTCTTTCTCCTCAAGTTGCTTTTGGTCTTGGTGTTTCATCACAGCCATAGTAACTACCCCTGACTAAGACAGATATTTATATCTCACACTGTTTCACTCATTTCCCTTGGAAACAGCCAGACTACACACAGAGGGGCGTGCTTCCCCATGCTAGGCAAGTGTACCACAGAGCTGGCTACACGCAGCCCCCGGTGTAAGTACTAATAGGAAGGACCATGCTGTGCATAGAGCTTCCACAGGCTGCTCACCAGTGGCCCCAATGAGAGAAGGTGGCTACCCTTCTTGTCAACAGCTAGGTACTCTTATCTACTGAGACTTTACCGTGCGTGGAAAATGAATATCCTAGGCGAATTCCCAAATGAAATACACTAAAAACAAAGGCTGCAGAGCTTGTATTTTTCCCTTGATGCCATTCAAAGACTAAACCTTTCTTATAGTAGAATACAAAGATGTCAATCAAAAGAATCCCTATGATAGGAAATAACTTCATGAGTTTAAATAATAAACTATACATATACTGGGATAAATCTAAGAAAATGCCACAACTTCACCATTGAAAAAGAGCACCCCTGCCCAGCCGGGTCTGGAACGCACCGATAAACGCCTGCCGCTTGAAGCACTCCTCCAGCCAGTCCGGGGTCACAATGTGCTTCACCACAGAGATGGCCGTCAGGAACTTCACTGTGCGTGTCACCTTGCTGGCTATGAGGTGCGTGCACTTCTTCGTGGACTCAGCAACTTCCCCACCCAGGATGTACAGCTTCTGGAGCCGCAAACACATTGGAAAGGGAGCCACATGTCAGCAGAGAGTGACACACTGGACCAGTGAGAGACAGAACTTGCTATCGCCCTCCTCAGCTGTACTTGACGACGGAAAAGCAAAGCACAAAGCACCTCCCATGGGCGCCTCAGTAGCTAACTCTGCGCAAACCTATGTCAGACACAAGTACTCCAGACACCAGTAACTGCATCGAAAAGGCCCGAGACTCCAGGGCTCAGCCCTCTACAGATACTCTACACTACTCTATAGATAGTCTATGCCAAATCCACCTCCAACTAACAGTGGCAAACTAGGGGACTGAGGCATACACATGTAACAAAGACCGTGCAATAGCCCTGCTCAGATTACAGAGGTGTAAAAATGAAATTTACAACAGCAGTGTTAGTAATTGCTTCCTTAAAAAGGAGGTGGGTGCTGGTAAATCGGCTCAGTGAGTAAGGGCAGTTTCATCAAGTCCTATGACAAGAAAGTGGAACCCACAGGCTTGAAGGAGATGGCCAAATCTTGTAAGTTGTCCTGTGATCCCAGACATACGCTGTGTCACATGTATGCCACCTTGCCTCCAACATACACAGAGCACACAAAATAGTTATTTTTAAAATGGAAAGCGTACAAATCTAACCTCATACACTCCGTGAATTTTTGACTCTCTTTCACCAAAACAAAACTCTCAGTTACCAGAAGACCCCAATCCCTCGGATGTTCTCAGACATAGCATATTTAACCAATGCTGTATTATCAACATCCTCCCCACCTATTGTTCTCTAGAATGGCCTCCTTCTTCCCCACAGAACTAATCATGTGCAGCCCCTTCGAGACCCTCGAAGGCCCAGTGCCCTTCAAGCCCAGAGTCTTTTTTGTTTTGTTTTCTTGAGACAGGGTTTCTCTGTGTAGCCTTGATTGTTCTGAACTCCCTTTGTAGACCAGGCTGGCTTCAAACTCACAAAGATCGGCCTGCTTCTGCCTCTGCTAGTGCTGGGATTACAGATGTGTGCCATTCCGCCTAGCTAAGCCTGAAGTCTTTATAAAAATGACATTCTGATGGTCCAGACTCCTACATAAACGGAAAAACTAGTAATGAATAACGAAATATTAGGCTTTTCTGGTTCATCTCCCCTGTTAGGTTTAAGCCCTGTCTTCACCAAGGAACTGCAAGGCAGAAATGAAATAAAAGCCTTTGATCTTGTACATTCACCTTCAGTGTTCTCAGTTTCTATGTAAACGAGACGGTCTAGAAATACTTCCTACTGTATCTGCGGCCAACAAGAAATTACCAACACTTCATAACCGCTCTCAGCAGGGCTGGAGACAGGATGCTCCTAATTCAACACTCAGAGCCAGGGCGACTGCAGCAAGGAGGCGCCTACGCACAAGCCAGCACTCTACCCAGTGACACCCCAGCTAAGCACCACGCTGGTACATGGCTACCCTAGAGCAAAGAGACAGAGGGGACACTGCTGAAAAGCATTAAACACATTAAAGCATTAAAAGCTCTCACCTTAATGTACTGCTGAACTTGAGCAGGCTCAAAGCCAGTGAACAGCACATAGGGCGTCAGCTCTGGAGTCAGCTTCTTGGTGGGGGGTGGCAGGTCTTCAATTCTGTGATGCAAACACACAGGAAAACCATGATTTCAAACAGATGTTCTTCAGGGAATTCAGAACTTAGCAAGCTTTAGGAGTCTGAGTGTTTGGAGGGCACTCCTGTGAGGGAAGATAGTCCTTTCTCCAGCACCAATTAACGCACAGTTCTACCCCAAAAGATGCCCCCTGAAACACCCAGGAGAAGCATTCAGATCATTAAGGACGATGCTCTCAGGGGGACATGGCGGTGCTCAACTCTATCGTCAGCATATGTAGGGACAGGCTGATGACTTCAAAGCCAAGCTCAGCTACAGAGTAAGCTTGAGGCCACTCTGGACTACACGAGACCCTGCCCAAAAAAATAAGAAAAAGGCCAACACTGTCCTCTTCCCTATCAACCACTCCCCTGTGACTATGGCTCAGTCGGGCTCAAGAAGGAAGCAGCATTAACACTCATTTCTGCTTCACTGATTTACCAGCTCGCTTGGCACACTGGCTGCTCTTCACACAGCCCTGCACGGTGGCTGCCTTCACATTAGCATGTATGTGCCCAGCACAGTGGCCACTTTTTGCATTAAATTGTATTTTTAATATTTTCATTTATTTAGTATTTTACAGTGGGGCTGACAGAACCCAGAGCCCCACTACACCAGGCAAGGGCTCTACAACTGAGCAAACCCCTAGTCCCTTACGTCAAGCTTTTAAAAAACCTTAAGTAACTTGGTTAAACTCTGTTGTTACGGTCATGGTGACACATTGAGAGGCTGTCCTGGTACTTCAAGCCCGCTAAGTTCTAGCCCTGTCTTCACCAAGGCACTGCAGAGATGAAATAAAGCCTAAACACTTTCAGTGTTCTCAAATCTTATTTCTAAGTTTCTATGTAAATGAGATGGTCTGGAAAAACTTTCAACCATTTAAAACCATAGCCATTTAAAAACGAGCTTTACTCAGGTTGTGCTACCAGTGTGGGGAGTAAGAAGAAAAAGGGAGCTGAGAAGGTGCTGATTGCAAAAGGCCTTCAACAGTTCCGGGTCAGCGAGTACAGTGTGGAGTGTCAAGAGCTCTTGAGTGTCATGGGAGAGGAAACAGGCCCCTGGCCTGCTCCTGTTCGCTGCAGCTTCTGCTCTCAGGGAGGCAGGACTGCTGGCCGCCATGCTGCCTCCAGATGAGCCAGTAACACACATGTACCAACTCCCAGCAGCGCGCCAAATCTCTCAGAGGAGTCTGGGCTCTCTTTCCCACAGTGGCCTCTCTGAGAACTGGTACCTCAGAGTAGCACACCCATGAGGCCCAGTGCCCAGCACTCAAGATGGACATGGGGCACTGCCCAGGGACAGCCTGTCTGCCCACAGCAGCTGCTGCTTCACACAAGGTTCGAATAAAATTTTGCTTGAGAAAAAGGTTCTGGGTTTTATTTTTAATAAGAAAGAAAACTGCTTAATTATATCTCTCAAATTAAGACACTATGGTATATCATGTGGCAAAGGTAAATCCTGTTAAGTCAATTTACAATTATATGTAAGGCCATTGAGCCTGCGTGTGTGCGCGCGCGCCATGTGCATGCCTGGTGTGGGAGGCCAGAAGAAGGCATCGGTTCCCCAGAACTGGAGTTATAGACAATTGTGAGTTTCCATGTAGGTGCTGGGAATTGAACCCAGGTCCTCTGCTAGAGCAACCAGTGCTCTTAACCACTGAGCCACCTCTCCAGTCCCTCAGAAACATTGGACAGTTGGCAGCAATCTTCCAAAGCAGACAGATCTGTAAGAAGCGGGCAACTATAAGGTGGCTTGCCCTGCCGTGCGTACCTGGCTCTTTTAGAAGAAGGCTGGATGTTGGTGGCCTCATTTGGCTTCAGCTTAGGGGGTAATCTTACACCCTGTAATTAAGAATTGTGCACGTCAATCAAACAATCTCCAAGAATACAGGAGCTTCCAAGACAACACCTCCAACACCCTCATCACCTACCCACAGGAGAGTACTACAGCCCTCACTGCTAGAACAAGTATTCGCTCAAAAAGGCTGGGTGGCACAGGCCATGAGCAGAAACTAACACTTCAGAGAACCTGCCTTTTTCTTCCTCTCCTCCTCTAGTCACCAAATCTCTGAATACATATAACTGCCTGCCTGTTCCTTTCATCTCTCAAGGTTCCTCAACCATTAACTCCCCATCTTTAAGTAATTTGTCCTGGGTCCCAACTTGGAATATGGCAAACATTATAAGTACCAACACATCTCCCTAGAACAAAACTAGCCTAAAATAGAAAGTCACCTGAGGTCACAAGATACCAGTTGACAATCAGATTGACAGTACTATGAGCAAGATGAGGTGCTAACCTTAGCAAGAACCTCACATACTGGAACAGCCCGAGGCCTTGCCCCCCTCGGCAAAAAGCCTCACCCACCAGCTCAAGCCACTGCCCCAGGACAGAAGCATTCCAACAAGACAGTAGAGAATGGAGATGGCCTGTGGAGTCTCCATCTCAGGGGTCATCTACACTCTGCCACACTGTTCATCCCTACATACTGTAAACTTTGAGGCTTTTAGTCAGCTGGGTACAGAACCACTACCTACTACGTGACATTGGCTTAATCTTCAGCATCACCAAGATAAATAAATAAAGGCCAAGCCACCATCTTTACTTGCTCACTTACTATGTTCATGACCATATTCCAAACCTCTAGCCCAGACTCACTTAACTACAAGCCACGTCTCCTACACATGCTGCCATGACTACACAACCAAGAAAGCCAAAGGCCTAAGAGCCCTATGCAGTACATCGTCGCCAGGAAGACGGAGACCTTCTTGCCACTGACTCGCTCCACCATTTCCACAGCAGCCCCTAGCCAGGAGGGAACTGGCCTGTTGGGGAGCTGCAGCTTTCATATAAAGGCTCAGGAAACTGGGCCATGTGGTCTGTGAGAGATGGCTGCCACTTTCCCATTTAGTCAGTTCTACATGGGACCTGTCTCAAAAAGCAACCAGCGTGTGTGGAGAGGAGGAGACCTGCAGGAATCAGGTCATGAAGTAACAGGCCAGTGTCCTCTAGACATGACAGGGCTACTGCACCATGAACTCAGAGCAACTATGAATGCCTGCATGACACCTGTCTCTACAAGATCAAGCCAGTCAACATTCTAGCATGGGATGCGTGTGTGAGCTCCCTGCCCCTGGCTGAGGAGCTATTGACAGTGGATGGCTTCTTGGGGCGGGAGAGTCAAGCTTTCCTTACGAGTACGGCCTCCGGCAGGTTGACCATGCACGGTGGCCATGCAGATATGGGTGGTACTAATTAGACTCACTGGGTTACTTTTTTAAAAAGAGGATATGAAGGGGAGTTGCAGAGGTCTGGGTAGGGGGTGACGGAGTCTGAAGGACCATGGTATCTGTAGACTCCTATATGTGAATGTTTGGTGAAACCATGAAAGATTAGGAGATGCTGCCTTGTTGGGAAGAGTGTGTCCCTGGGGCTGGGCTCTCTCTCTCTCTCTCTCTCTCTCTCTCTCGTTTGTGGATCAAATGTAAGCTCTCAGCTACTGCTCCAGCACCATACCTGATGCCTGTTGACATGTTTCCTCTGAAACTATAAGGACGGACCCAGTTAAATGTTTTCGTTTATAAGTTGCCTTTGTTCTGGTATCTTTTCAAAGCAGCAGAATAGTTACTAGACAGGGGTGAATATGACTGAATTCCTGTATGAGTGTATGAAATATAAGAATAAATAAATTAAAAATATAAACTGAAAATACTTTTATAACACGTTAATGTATCTGTGACAGATATGCAGAGCTATGCCTACAGCAGTCACTATCCAGCAGCAAAGCCCTGTTCTTCTGAGGTGTGGGCCCGGCAGGAACAACGGATCTTAAGCGAGTAACACTTAAGCCACAAACTCATCAGACCTCAGAGGTGACTAACAACTTCCAGAGTGTTCTATCCCTAAGTGGCTCTCTAGAACATCCAATATGACATGAGTCTTCCCAGGAACCCCCAGGCATGTTCTCCGGGAACCAGGAAACTCTGACCTGTGGCCTGTGTTGGGTCATATCTCCTCCACTTCTATTGGTTCTGAAGGCCTTGCCCACTAGCTATGAAAAACAGCCAGCACTTGATGACAGTCCTGCTCCTTGAATCCAGGAGTGTCACACAGCTCTCTGAAGCCAGCAAAGATCTCCATGTACACATGCATACTCCTATCACCCAAACCGACAACAGAGAAGCATGTAGACTGGTATGCTAACACACTTGTAACACAGAGAAGATACCCCTTCAAGTGCTGTCAAATAAGGGACAAGACGCAAACATTCACAAACATCTCCACTGCGCTCGAGTAACCCAGCAGCCACAGTGTGCATGAGGGGGAGAGGGGGTGACATAGAGGAGCGGCCACAGTGGGGTGTGGGGATGACATACAGCAATGGCTCTGTGGGGTGTGGGGCTGGCGTACCATCAATAGCTCCGCAGTCACCTTCACTGGGACCCGCCATGCATCTGAAAGAAAAAGATGTCACCTTCCACACTGAATGCACACACAACCCTGCTGTAAGCCCTACCTAGGCAGAGAACCTAGTCATTCAGGGCTTGTCCACACACTCAGTCAGGGCAAGTGTAGCTAAAATACTGCTGCTCAGGTTCCCAGGACAGGTGAGGCAAGCATGGCTGATGCTTTGCACACCGAGGTTCACCAAGGGTATGCACTGTGAGCAGAGTCCCATTCTGAGACAGTGCGGTTATGAGAGGTGGCCAGCACGACCCACAATGACCAATGTACTAGTGCTGGCCACAGGGAACAGCTTGTGCTGCACAACAAAGTGGACCTGAGGCCCAATGGGCACTTTAGTCTCTGCAAGGCCCAGGCAGTCCCTCTGGACAAACAGCCGCACAGTGAAGTGTGTCCAGCAGAAGGCAGAGCAAGGCTTTCAGGGGAATGCCAAAACACACCTGAATCATGTTCAGTTCAGAAAGGCAGAATTAAAATCTAGTGTTGTATATTTACACAAACATAAATATTAAAGATAAAATTTAAAAACCTTTTAAAAAAGCTGTGTGGCACCTTATATGCCGTCTTCTGTGGGACAGGTCTCCCCTAAAGAGTTGCATATCAAAAGGCTGACCACACATAAGGCGGAAACCATCTGGGAGTGACATTACGTCCTCAAAACTTGACAGTGACAAAGAAGGCATCACTCTAGGAGAGAATGGGGTGTTCCAGCTCTAAACGCCTCTCGGTCACAACTCAAAAACCAAACTATTTAGAGCAAGGGCAGAGGGACAGGGAGTGGAGGTGTGCAGAAGGGGGCAGAGGGACAGGGAGTGGAGGTGTGCAGAAGGGAACTAAGTGAAGCAGGTGGTGCAAGCAGTTTTGACAGCTGTCAGGCAACAGTGACAGCACACAAACCAAACCATCACTAACCTAGAAGACTTAAGACCAAGTGTGGAGTAGGCGCAAAAGGGTCCGGAAGGTTGAAGGCTGTGTACCGGCTGTACTGCACCTGCCGCAGGGCCTCGAAGTTCCCCAGCAGAATGTCCCCAAGCCACTGTGCATTCACACAGGGGATCCTCCACTCTTTGGCCTTCTCATACTTCAAGCCACTTGGTCTTTTTTCACGAGAAAGCACATTTACTCAGTGTTAGCGCCATCTTACTATGAATGTTTTCTATTCATCAACAAAAGCCAACTTTAAAATTAGTAAAAGTGGCAGGCGTGTTTCAGCAAAGCTGCCAGTAATCCCATACTGGAGGCCAAGGGTACTGAAACAACCATGGACTCCAGCTGCATCAGGGACTGACTCTAATTCGATTCCTGGCCTTTAAACTCATCAAGTTCTATTATTCCATCCATTCACCACGTGAAGTCTTTTTTTCTTTTGCTTTTTTGGTTTTCGAGACAGGGTTTCTCTGTGTAGCCTTTGCTGTCCTAGACTCACTTTGTAGATCAGGCTGGTCCCAAACTCAGAGATCCACCTTCCTCTGCCTCCCAGATTACTAGGATTATAGGCGTGCGCCAACATGCCTGGTTTATGTGAAGTCTTTTATAGGTGTTTCTGCTGACGGTACTGTGAATTGGGATGCCTTTAAAAAATAGAGAGAACAGGTAGCTGGGCGTGGGGACACATGTCTGGAATCCTAGCGAGTCCAAGACAGCCAAGGCTACACAGAGAACACTGTCTTGAAAAAACAAAAAAGAGAGAGAAAGAGAGAAATAACAGGTATGATGGTGGCAGACACCTTTAATCCTAGCACTAGGAAGACAGAGACAGATGGATTTCTGTAAGCTCAAGACCATCCTGATCTACACAGAGTTATAGGACAGACAGCCAAGACCAGTTAGAGACCCAATTTCAAAAACAAAACAAAACAAAACAAAAAAAGCAAACCAAACAAAAACACCCAATAAAAAAAGAAAGACTAAAAGGCACTACAGAATGGAAAGGGGCTAGCAATAGTGACACAGAGGTCTTTGTGTCATCATTTTTAAAAATATTTTACTTATTTATTTTATGTTATATGGGTGCTCTATCTGCATGTACACCTGCATGCCAGAATATTGCATCAGATCCCAGTATAGATGGTTGTGAGCCACCATGTGGTTGCTGGGAATTGAACTCACGACCTCTGGAAGAGCAGACAGTGCTCTTAACCACTGAGCCATTTCTCCAGCCCGTGTCATTCTTTTATGGACTTCGAAACTTGAAATTCACACAAAACTATGATGTATTAAGAAACGACTGCTGCCAGGCGTGGTGATGCATGCCTGAATCCCAGTACTTGGAAGTTTGAGAGCAGCCTAGCTTATAAGAGGCCACACTTTCCCCAACAAACCAAACCACTAGACTATCTCCACACCCCTCTCATTTGACCTAACATAACTGAAGCAACTTCCAAGCTCAGCTTACTCTTTACAGATGAGGACCGTGTTGCTGCGACACAAGTACCCAGTGTACTTGGCACCCGCCAGGTATGTCATTAACTTGAGGTCATCTCTGTCATTGTCAACAAATCCAGTCACAGAGATAATCTGGGGAGAAAAGAGCAAATGAGATTTAACACCAAATGGCTTTGATTATACTTTCTCACACTCCTATGGCATCAGGGGATGTATCTGGCACTAACATTCCTAAAATCATCAGGAGAAGAACTTCACAGATGGAGCATGAAATATATAGCATCAAGGCAGGAAGAGATATGGAGCTACACTCACAGAAATACTTCTGGCATCTGTGCGGTGATGCCCAGCTAACCCCTGAACACACACACAGAGGGCAGGTCTTTACTTTCCTTACCAGCCCAGACTTGGAATTATTTGGCAGCAAGTACCCACAGTTAATAACTAAGTTCTGCCCAACAGTGACTTATCCTAGAGTCTGAAATGCCAACGAGGTAGAACAAAGGATGTCTTGTGGCAGGCACTGCATACAGCGGCCACAGCACGCAGAGGGTGAGAAAGCAACCCAGGGGTCTGGGACAGAACTGTGAAAGCCAAGAAGAGGGGATGGGCCTTACATGCTGTGCACAGGGTTTGCCCCCAGGAGGGAATGCCACAGGGAAATGCAGGGCTCGATGGGGTGGCACCAGCTTCTTCTTCTTCAGGACTGTGTTGAGCCAGTGTGCAGTGACACACCGCTTTCTCTCCCGTAGTGCCTGGCAAACAAAACACTCACGCTGTCTCTGCTTCTTTGCTTGAACCGGGCAGTAAATGTTTGGCTTGCATGATACAGTGATACAGCGCCACCTTCCCAGAAGCCAGTGAATCAAAAATTCTACCTCTGGGGTATCTGAGGCTCCCAGGGCACCTACACGTTTCGTGTACTCACAAAGAAACACACATACACATGATTTAAAAAAAAAAAAAAAAATTCACAGTCACAACACAATTTCCCCACAAAGAGAAACGTACCAATCCCCTGCATATAAACAAACCAAGTACCCCCCCCCCCCAATTTGACCACAGGGGAGACACACAGCACAAAAACAGAGCAGTCAATAGCACTGAACAGGGTACTCCTAGAGCCACTGTCATATACACAATAGCATCCATCTGTCAACTAGCAGGAAGACTTGTAAAAGAGAAGAAATGCTGGGAAAAGCTTACAGGCCAGGTTTCCTACTTGCTCTCTCAGGTCTTACCCTCAGGAGCGCTTGCATGAAAAGCCCCAAGGGGTGCCAAATCCCATCTTGAGAGTCACCTGGACAGTGATTAAGGTGGGAGGGATGCTGACTAGTTTTTCTGCATCCACCTGGAACTTCCTGGTTCCTTTCTATTGCCCAAAGCTTTCCACAACACAATCTAGCCCACTGAAGTGGCTTTCTTAGTTTTGGAGGCAGGAAACTATTCTCTAGAAGATTCTAAAAACACTGTAAGGTGGGACACAGTAGCTCACTAGTCTAACATGCATGATCCTAAGTTTGATTCCCAGCACCACAAAAAACTGGCATGTGCATCTACCACTCAAGAGATAAAGATGAACTCTGCTCCACGCTGCATTCATGGCTGTTTGGGCCACATGACACTGTTCCATGAACAAACATATTAAGCACTTGCTTCTAGGGCTGCACATAACAGTGCTGTGGCCTCCCGGTCATGGTGATCAGTTTCTTACCTGTGCATACATACTACTGACTTGGCTCTCGCAGAGGAGGTGTGTGCATCGGCTCGTGAAAGTGGGGTCCACAGTGCCACCGTGTGCCTGGATTATCTACACAAGAGACCCAGGCAGACATGACGTCAGCTTCAATCATTCAGGTTACTACAAAAATCGTGGTTTCAACCCAGAAACTACGACTACATTGGCATGACCCAGGATAAACAGAACCTAACAACAACATTCACACAGCATGCACGCAATCTTCCCCCAGCACACTATGGCACTCAGCTGTTTCAGAGAATGAAGACCGCCATGTTCTTCAAACAGCCTCGTCAGCCTAGCACCGATGACATTTTGGGCAGTGGAGCGTGTGACAAAGCTGCCTACGGTGTCCAGGCGCCCCCCTGCCTTCTTACTGAGAACAAGTGGTATCTCTTCTCAATACTGTACGCTCTCAGAACAGATCCACTGCTCTCACAAACCTTCACCCTGGAACAAAAAGCCTCATCAGAATGTAATGTGTCTGACGGGCTGGAGAGATGGCTCAGCAGAGATCAACGAGTACTGCTCTTCTGGAAGACCCAAGTTTGGTTAGCAGCACCCATGCTTCTGCCTGCATCTCCAGCTTCAGGGGACCCAATGCCTCAAGCCTCAGGAGGGGTACACACACACACACACACACGCATTTATGAAATATATATATATATATATATATTATGGGAACTGGTTCCAGTTTTGGAGAAGGGATTGTTCTATCCTGATGTTGGTTTTATGCCCTAGCAACAGTCAAAAGGCCATCACCACAGAGAATTGAACATTACTGCACAGCAGCTGAAATGTAAGCTTAACACTGTGAAAGACCTGGTCTCATTCCAATTCTGGTTTCACTTGCCAATTTGAAATAGTGTGTTTTTGTTTTAACTGTTTTAAGTTTAGCTTCAAGGAGTATGACACCACTAGAAGCTCCTGCCTTCACCTGCTTCCCACCGCCGGAGCTGTGTCCTCTGATAATTACTAACATATTCTAACTCACATATGCTATGCTATTCATTGCTTTCTGGTCTTACACATTATCTACTGAGTGTCCCTGTGTGAAGGCCAGGTCATCCAGGTAGCTTCTATGGCACCCTTAAGACAAATGTTCCCTCCTTGTCTAAGTTTTTTTTCTGGTGCTGACTATGACCTCATCCCACCTCCCATATCTGCTGTCTTCAAAGTATCCTATCCTTCAAAGCTCACTCCCAAGCTCTCCACAGAGATGTGAGGTGCTCTTAAAGTGTGTCCTCAAATCACATATTCTCCCAGTAAGCCCCAGGGATAGCTCTCCAGAGATTCCTCCACCTCCTGCCCTTGGTCTGGAGCCATTCACAAAAGGGGAGAAGCCAATCGCTGCAGTATGGCCACACAAACAGCTGGAAGACCCCACACCTGGCTAGCCCAGGGCATGGCAAGCACACTCTCAAGCCACTGCAAACAACTGAGTTTGTTTGCACCAAGTCTTTTCATGAGTATTTCAGGAGGGAATTAGAACCTTCACCGTGTCTCTCAAAAGAGCAAACAACCTCCTCATGTCCTTTGCCCCACCTGCCAAGTCTTAAGCTCTGTTTTTATATCTACTTAAGAGTTCCCTTCAATGCTCACTCAAGAACTCCCTCGCCATCCAGTCAAACCCTATTTCTTGGCTGCCAGGCACCCCCTTGCTGATCAGTGGCATCTAAATAGAGGGGAGGGGGTGCACTCTGAGCTAGACACCTGTACTTCTCCTCACCCCGCAGCTGCACTCATCTGAAGGGCATGCTGCATGCTATTTGACTCAGAAATCACCACCCTCAGTTGATACTGGCTCTACAAGCTATGCTGAGCCCTACACCCTGCACTGTCCTGATCTAAGTCTCCCTTCACTAAGCCTCTAGTTTTTCAAGTGCCCTGAACTGTCCCTGCTCCAACACTGTTCTCCCTCTGTTCAGCCTGCCAGTGTGTTGTTCTCGACAGCTCTCTTTCTTTCTCTGTCCCAACTCCCATCATGCAGTGTTGCAGGGCTTGGGGTTTAGCAGTGGTGGACCATTTGACTCTCAAGAGTAAGGCAGGTTCAATCTTCAGAACAGGAGAAAAGCAGAAAAGGCAAAAAAAAAAAAAAAAAAGATTGAAAACAAAGCATGGATGCTGTCCACAGCATCCTTCAATGCCTTCAAAAGCCAAACTGACTGGGAGTGTTGGCTCGGCTAGAAAAAGCTTGTATAACATATAAGAGGCCCTGGGCTCAGTCCCCAGAGCCCCATAAACTGGGTGTGGTAGCACATGCCTGTAATCCCAAATGGCTGAAAGAAGTTTAAGTTGTTCAAGGTCATCCTTGGAGTTCAAGGACAGCTTCTTGAGAGACCCTGACACAAACAAGCATATGAAACATCAAACTTTACTGTTTCATGACCGTTGATTCTAGTTCTACCTTTTCATAAAGCTTCTCAACATACAATTTCATAGTCCCCCATTCCTCCCCCAAGACCGTTTTCTGACCCTGCAGCCCTAGACACTCTCTGGCCCCCCAGCCCTATCCTCATATCTTATCCTCTCCTGGCTGGCCCATCACTCACCTTCCTGGTGAACCCAAACAAAGTCTACACCTGACCACATAACACAGCTTCTACTTCAATTCACCCCCTTTCTATATAGCTTGCAATGAAAGTCCAAATTCCACTACCATAGCATTTGATAATGTACTGGAAGACAGACAGCCTTTGTCCTTTGCTCTTCCTGACTCAAGAGCTGCTCAGGACTAGACTTGATGACAGTCCCCATCAGTGCCAGAAGCGCCTTAAGTATTTATTAGGCTGCTCTGTTGGGATCATCCCCCCATTCCTTCCTGAACCCCTCCTGTGGACAAGCCTTGTGATCACCTCTACCAGCTTTAACAGCCCTGTCCAACCACGAACTCATGCCCCTTTCCAGGCTGCTCCTAGACCTTCTCTGTCCACACCACCGCACAGCCCGCCACTGTGTGGCTTGCCCAGCCTCTGCCAATTCCACATTGCCTAGTCTTGCAGCAGCACACTTGGCACTCAGTGGAGGTTTAAGCACCAGGAGTGCTTATAGTGAAGAACTCAAGCAATGCCTCTATCCTAAACTCCGTCTTATTGGGGGAGGGTGGGGGTTGCTCCATTTTGATTTGTAGCGTGATTGACTGCAAGAAGAACTTTTCCAAAATTTTCTTTTTCTTTAAGATAGATAGATAGATAGATAGATAGATAGATAGATAGATAGATAGACAGACAGACAGACAGACAGACAGACAGACAGACAGACAGACAAACAAACATAAATGGACCAGTATTCTACAATTAAACCAGAAGATAAAGGCAACCATTACCCCTAAGGGAATTGTAAGAGCCAAAACTCACCCAGCACCCATGTGACAGAAGCCCAGAAAGTGGTGGGCACTTCTCACAGAGGGCAGGCAGCACTGATGGAGGTACTCATGGCACCAGAGTGCACACATGGAACTTGCTGCATGAGACCAGCTAACCAGGCAGCCAGCCTACACCCTCAAGCACACAGCCCCCAGCTTCCCCAGCTCACCCTTTTCCAGGTGGCCAGCAGCTGCTTATCCGACATCTGCTCAGGATAGTCCGCAATTGCAAACACACATCCTAGCAAGAAGCCTTCTTCTGGAACTAGAGTGACAGACATGAACATAAATTAAAAGTGCATTTTGATGAGTTCAGTTTGAATCCATAATCTAACTACATTTGGAATGTTGCTACAAATATACTAATCTACCTACAAAATCAGATCAAGAAGAAGAAGATGTAATTTAGGTCTAGGCATTAAATCCTCAGCATTGCTCCTGAGGCAGCTTGGATACTCTGTGAACACTGGTCCTCACTGTAGTGTGCAAAACATAAAGTCCCCTAATTATCTCACTGTAATGCCTGCTGGACAGGTATGAAACTCACACTCCATGTGTCACACTTATTTGATAGGTGCCATGCTCTTGGACCACTTATGCAAGCTTGTAACTTGTGAGAAAATAGGAACCAGTACTAACTCTCCACTGCGGGGTCGTGTCCAAAAAGCTGCTGCTGCTGCTGCTGTTGTTGTTGTTGCTGCTGAGGTGGGGGCTGCAGGGGCAGCTGCAGGGGCTGCTGGGGTAGAACCTGGTGCTGTAGTGCCTGGGACGTTTGGTTCAAGTGTGCTGCTTGATTCTGCATCTGCTGCTGTTGCTGTTGCTGCTGGTGCAAGCGCTGGAGCTGCTGCTGCTGCTGCTGCTGCTGCTGGAGAAGGTTATGCTGCTGCTGTTGCTGCTGCTGGAGCTGTGCTAACTGGTGCTGCTGGAGCTGCTGCTGCTGCAGCTGATGGAGCTGCTGCTGCAGGGCATGCTGCTGCTGAAATGGCTGCAGCTGCTGTTGAGGGCGATGCAACTGCTGCTGAGGGTGTAATGGTTGCTGTGGAAACTGGAGCTGCTGCTGAGAAAACTGATGCTGATGGACTTGCTGTGGGAACTGATGTGATGGCGGCTGGGGGTAAGGCTGTGGCTGTGGCTGCTGCTGTTGTGGCGGCTGCTGTTGCTGCTGCTGCTGCTGCTGCTGCTGCTGGAGCTGCATGATCTGAGGCTGGAGGTGCAGGACTGGGTGCTGCTGCGGTGGCTGCTGGGGAGGATGGTGCTGCTGCAACACGTGTGTCTCGGGAGCACCTTTAGGCTGGCCAAACAGCACAGTACTAGCAGTGGGGTGTCCCTGCTGGCCGTGCGCCACCTGCTGCTCTAGGTTTTTTGTGGGTGCTGAAAGGGACTGTAAGATCTAGAAAACAAAAGGAGGGCCAAGTCACTACCAATAATTGCTGAGGGGCACTACCCATTCCCAGGCGAGGAGCAGTGCATCCCGGCAGCTGATATGCTGAACGGCTACATAATGGGGACCAGACAGCAACACCACATTGCTCTCCCATATGTACTTTGTATTCAACATCCAGAGAGCAGGATGCTCAATTACAAAAACAGAAAAATAGACTAACAAACACAGGAGCTGGGAGATGCTCAGCAGGTGAAGTGCTTGCTATTGGAGCCTAGCAACCTGAGTTTAAGCCCTGTCTTCCACGGTAGAAAGACAGAACCAATTCTCCAAAGCGGCATCAGATCCACACACCCTTCCCCCGCTCGCACTTCCCCCATCTCACTTCTCCCCCTCCTCACTCCCCCCCAACAGACTTGAGGGCACTGATTCACAGAGCCGCTGCATCTTAAAGAACACAAACAGAATAAAACAAACGGCAGTATTTGGTCCTGCGTGGCCAGGCTACCGGGAATGCAGTGCTCTCCCCTGCAACTCCCTCCTTCCATACCATGGCCTCGTTCTGACTGACTAGACAGTGCTATGGGAAGTGGCAGCCTTGGCTTAGATCTCTCCACAGGTACAACCATGTTGTACTTCCTCCTGATTCTGGGAGTCGCCTCTACTTCAGGTAAGGCAGGGGACCCACTCTTACCACCAGAGCAACTCGCAGTTACACCAGCCAGCGTAGCTCCTGCTCCTCCCTCGCTGTACCTTGTTCTAGAGCGTATGTGACACAGGAAAGGGACAAATGGACTCTAGCAAAAGGTGTGCTTAAAGGCAAATGTTAGCTCAGCTTGATGAAATGGACCTGTGATTCTAACACTTGGGAAATGGAGGGAAGAGCATCAGTTCAAGGTCAGCCCTTGCTACATAGGGAGTTCAAGACTAGCCTAAACTACAAAAGATTGTACCTATAATAATAATTACTATTATTATTCTATAATTATATATTATATATATATGCAATTATATAATAATTAATATTACTGTTAATAATAATTATTATTATTATGAGGAGGAGGGAGGTGCTGGGGAGTAGGTCATGCTAGTCCAGGAACCTGAGCTTACATCTCTTGAACTCACGTAAGAGCCAGGCACAGGAGTATATGCACCTGCGATCTTAATGCTCTTACAGGGAGAAGGGAGGCAGAGACTGGGGATATAAGGAAGGTCATAGGTCACATAGCCTAGTTACACAGCAGTGAACAAAAGAGACTTTCTCTCAAACATGGTGGAAGGCACGAGCTGACACTTAAAAAGTCCTGCTCTAACCTCCACATGAACACTGTGGTATAAGCCCGCCCACACATCAATAGCACTATAGGCAAAGATTTTTTTTTTTTTAAGTGAATGGTGCTGACTTTAATAGCATATATATTAAAACTGGAATGATAACAAAAAATAATAGCATGGAGACAGCTCATAAAGCCTCAACCCTACAGGCAACTAAGGAAAGCTAAGAGCAGAAGTCTTCCCCAGGGAAGAGCACAACAACTGGCTATCCCACACCAAATGGTCAGCTCTAACACATGCATACGTACAAGTAATATACAGACCAATCAGGTTATATTCATATTTAGAAGTACACGCAGAGATATGTAACAATCAATGAAAAAAAGTCATGAATTTGAAAGAGCGCAAGGAAGAGAGAATTTGGAGGGAGGAAACGAAAAAGAAAATGATGTAATCATATTAAAATCCTAAAAAATAAAAAATAGGTTGAAAAAAAGCAATCTTTCGTTTGTTTTGCACGCAGATATATGCCAGCACTGAGAACAGTGTTTAGAATGACTTCCTGAGAAATCACTACAGCTGTTGAATATCCTTCCTCAAACAAGACTAAGCAACAGATGGGACAACACAGCAACGGCCTGTCACATGAATAGGCCAAAGCAGCCATCTGCCACACTGCTGTTCTCTGTACCGCCAACCCCATCCAAAGGGACCCTGGAGGGAGATGCCCCACAACACAAGAGCTGCTGGCAGGACAGGCATGAGGGAACTCTGCAGCCAGGCAGACCCTCTGGACCAACTTTTGAGAGAGATCAGCAGAATGCAGCAGATTTTGATGTCTATGTGGGGAGGGTTATGCTAAAAGGAGAGAAGGAAGCCAGTGGTGGTTGCGTACACCTTTAATCCCACACTCGAGATGGAGAGGCAGGTCTCTGCCTCTCTAAGTTCAAGACCAGCCTGGTCCACAGAATGAGTATCAGGACAGCCGGGGCTACACAGACAAACCCTGTCTCGAAAAACAAAACAAAACAAAGAGGGCATGACATGCAGCTGTTTCTGTCCTGGACTCAGAAGCAAAGGCTGAAATGTCCTCCTGCTGTGGCTGACCCAGTCTGCCCAAGGAGAAACAAAGAAGAGTCAGGAGTCAGGAGAGCCCAGCCAGGCCCACCGACAGCCTGAGGGGTTCTACACCAGTGGTGGAGACAACCGCAAGAGCACTGCTGTGCTCACCAAACCAACTTCCCATATCTGCCTCACAGCAACCAGAGGAACCCAAGAAACTGAACCATGCTACCTTCAAGCAGCAGTTCTAGACAGACAGCAACTTCGAATTTCCCCTCTTTGCATTGCATCATCTAAATTCCTGCCAGAATATAAAAACACATACCACACAAGCCCTAGCTGGGACATACCAGCCATCAAGCAGGAATTTGACAAGTCACCTCCCCCTCTCCACTAATCAAACTAAGTCCCCTTCTCTGACATTCTGAAATTCATTTTTTGTTCTCAGTGGTAATGATGCTCAGGAAGCGCCACAGTAACCTGAACCTACCTTTGCTGTTGCTGGCTGAGCTGGCTCCATCCTGGAACCAGTGTCACTGGAGGACAGTGTCAGAGCAGCTCATATCAGACATTAGTCTCTGTCTACATCCAGACTCAGGATTCCCCGCACTTAAACCTGCCTCTACGTGAGCATACACAGCAGACCACTGACTGACCAACCCTGCTCCTGCTATGAGAGCGGGGAAGGGCAAAGCCCTTGCCTTCAATGTGAATGCATGGCTGCCACCCAGAACTTCTCACGGAAGGAAAGGAGGTATGCGGACTCTTGAGCAGCTGAAAGCCTAACACCAGCTCTGAGATCTTCTGAATCAACATTTCCAAATGTTTATAGGGCAAATCCACCTGAACAGCCCAGGTACCCCTCGCCCAAACCTGCTCACCTTCTAATCTCTCCTTCTGGCGGTACTGCCCCTCTCAAGATCTGAAATGCCCATCATCTTTGCCTCCAGCCCACTGACCACCACACCCCTTACCTCCAATTGTCACCAGGCCCACTAGCGCTCCAACTCCTGCATTCCTGCTGTCCTCCCCTGCTCCCACTCTGTGGTTGTGGGCCACACGGCTCCTGCTTCCTGGACACTTAGGCAGGAAGGTAGGGTGGTCCACCCATCATACTCAGGCTGAGCCACTCCTTCTGTGCAGTCCAGTACCCCCTACCTCATGCTCCCCACAAGTAGACATGCCGGCTTAGGTCAGCTCTGAGGCCCCCTCACCTCCACACCTTCCCAGAGACTCCGAAGGGCTGTGGTCAGTCATGTACTTATGAACAGTACATATACAAGGCATGAACCTGTGAAGTCACTTGACATGTGAGTGGGGACACTGGCAGTCAAGCAGGGACTAGGGGGACCTTCTGCCTAGAGGTGCTGCAGTTTCTGGAACACCAGGCCAGTTTTTTGTTTGGTTGGTTATTAAAGGTTTATTTATTTTTGTGAATGGTTGTTCTGCCTGAATGTAAGCCCATAACATGAGCATGCAATGGCTGCTGAGGCCAGAAGAGGGTGGCAGAGCCCCTGGGACTGGTGTTACAGGTATCACGAGTGCTGGGAATCAGACCCAGTTACTCCAGAAGAGCAGCCACGGATCTTAAACACATAGCCATCTCTCCAGCCTTCACCTAGCCAGCTTTTATCATACCGTGGCCATGCAAAAAAAGCTTAAAATCCAGCCTGTACAGAGAATCTTGTAATCTGGGCAAATGCATAAAATTTTTCAATTTATTTTGACCAATGCAGAATATGCCTATGAGTGAACTTCAAAGGGCATGAATTAGGCTGTCTGTGGCCACTTCCTTGTCCATCCCTACTGGACCCACTCTTTGTATGCTGTCCCCGCTGATGCATGGCATTGTCTATTTCAGTGTCGAAGCCATAGTGACAGCAGTCTGTCAGGGCTATAGGCCAGCACAGTTCAAGCCAACCCCTCATCTTACCTCTGTCCAGCCTGAGCTCCCTCTTACTTCCCAGGTCACATTAAAACCATGGTTACCAACCTAAACTAGTGCTGGCCATGTCCAGCAGAACTGCCTTCCAGTCTTTGACTCAGTCACCTTACGGTACCCCCATTCTCCTCAGATAACCCTCTTTTATCTATCTTGCCTCAGCAGCTAGGTTTTTTCTTCATAACACTTAAGAATACCTGGAGTCACCAGGATCACGACTGTCCCCTCCACTGTCTCTAGAATCTCAGCCATCAGTGTTTACTGCTAACGTCAGAGACAAGGTTCTAACAGCAGAGGCTTTCTTAAAGCTCTCAAAAATCAAACCCAGCAAAATGATTCTTAGCACCACCTCACATCCGGGCCATCATAGTTCCCCCTATGTCCACCTCAAATGGCACTGCGTCCTGTCTCAGGTTGTTAACACAGTTGAGCACTGTTAAAGGGGAGGTGGAGGATGGGAAGAACAAAGCAGCCAGATCAGTGAAGCCAGTACAGCAGCTCTTGAATGGAAGGACTTTTGGCTGCCCATGCCAGAATGCTCCCAGCGTGGCCCTGGACTCTCCTCTTGCTTCGTCCTACCTCATGCACTGCCTTATCTGCTCCAAAGCTAGACAGCATCGTCTGCTGTCAACCCCACTCACCTCCCTGCTATCAGACCCCTCTCCGCCTGCATCCTTCCTCTCCCAAACCTCTGCTCACTTACCACGTGCCAGCCCCTTGTAGGGCTTTCCCATTTCTTTCTCCTCTCACCCCGTCATAACCAGTCATACAACAGTGGTCAGACCTCAGCTGGGCGCTGCTCAGGTCCTCTGAAGGCTTCCCAGGAAATGGGCGCACACTCTTCCCCATGTCCACTGTAACAAAGCTACTTGCCTTGTCTCTCATGGTGCTCTCACACCACCCAGCTCACCTCGTGTTCTGAGAGGACAGCAAGTCCTTGCCTACTTCGGGTCTTCACCTGGAACTCTGAGCTCAGTCCTTTCCACAACCTGTCATTCAAGCCTGATTGACATCACCTCCCTCATAAGATTCCTCCTGCTATCAGGAAGTGTCTGGCTCTGACTGAAATATACAATGATATGCACCAACAGGGACAGCATGCAAAGATGTGAGTCTTTAGGAAAGCCAGTGAGATCGCTCCTGGGAGAACACAAACGGCTACACTGCCAGGCCATAAGGTCTCCTGTGCTCACTAGCAGGTATTTGGATCCCTGCTGGCCCAACTGTCACCATCTGATTCATGCCTGTTTAACATGACTATAAAGAAGTTCCTACAAAAATGGGACTTGTAAAGAACCTGATCCAAAGGTCATAAAATCCCACTCTTTGATGCAGCTGTCAGCTTCCTGAAACTTACATGTGCAACATTGGACGGACGGTTGATCTGCTGGATGTCCGCATTGTTTGTGATGTTTCGTAACGTCCGGACAGCTGGGCTCCAGGTCCCTAGCATTTCTGATCGCTCAGAACTCGGGAGGTTTTGTCCAGCAGCCATCAAGTTACCCCGCATGTCAGGAGGCAGGATGTCCCCTGGGACAGGTGGCACATTGGCACACAGGTTAATGAGTCCTGGCCCTTTTCCCTGAGGCAGCCTGCGCTGGGCCGTGGTGAGTGGCGGGGCTTCCGCAGGGGCCCAGTTCAAGCTCCGCTCCTGCTTCTCGGGGGAAGAATCAGAAGAGTCATCAAACATCAACTCCCCTTTAGACACCTCGGCCCTGGGCTTGGGAGAGCACGGCTGCTCAGCAGGAGAGGCTTCTGGAGAGCTGGCTACACTCGACTTCTCCTCAGTGCTGCCCTCGTTCTGAGAGTCCTGCTCCTCGTTGTCCCCCTCCTCCTCCTCCTCCTCTTCCTCTTCATAGATGATCAGACGGGGATGGTAAAAGGCTTCGTCCTTCCTGCTCTTCTCAGACACGCAGTCCAGGACCCAGTCAGGGGTGACAATCTTGATATTTGCTCTCTTGACAGCACGCTCGTATTTCTCCTAGGAGGGAAGCGTAAACACATACTAAATGCCACTGTCTTCTCTCGTCCTGTAATCATGTATCTGAGGAGCCAGCTTTAAGTGGGATACAAATGCAGAACTGCTGATGTCCCTGCCATGCTACCCAGAGAGGCAAACCCTATGCCTGTATCTGTGAGCTAGAGCTATAAGAGGGACCACAGAAAGGAGGGGTCTTGATTGCAGCAGGAAGCTTACAAGACTTGGCTCAAATCAACTTTTTTTTTTTTTAAAGATTTATTTATTATTTATACAGTGTTCTGTCAGCTGCATGCCAGGAGGAGGCGCTAAATCTCATTATAGATGGTTGTGAGCCACCATGTGGTTGCTGGGAATTGAACTCAGGACCTTTGGAAGAGCAGCCAGTGCTCTTAACCTCTGAGCCATCTCTCCAGCCCTCAAATCAACTTTTATAGATGACATTTTAAATACATACAGAGAGCTAGAAATCTTATGGAAAATAACAAAGTGAAGATCTGGAATTTCTATTTATACACACTAACGCTTTTTACAGAGCTGGCTGTCCAGACAGGCTGACATTCACTAAGGGAATTGTGGGCAAGTACCTTCAAGTCAATAGGAATGGTCATGAGTGTGGCTGCCCCTCCCCCAAAGAGGTTAGATATACAGTAAGAATACAACTTAAAACCAACACTAAGAGATAAGGTGCGATGTTAGTATAAACTGCCAATTTGGCACCTGGGCACCTCTGGGAGAGATTATCTCGATAATAATTAATTGATATGGGAAGACTATTAATCGTGGATCCTGGACAGCATGATGGGGAGGCAAACTGAGTACTGGCATGCACTCAGTCACTGCCCCTTCTTCTGACTGTGGACATATGACTAGCTCCCTCAAGCCTCTATTGCTGTGACCTCCCTGCCATGATGGAGTTTCTTCCCTAAGTTGCTTTTGCCAGAGTAACTTCTTACAGCTACAAAAGAGAAACTTGGGCAGAAGGTTGATGAAGAATGGAGAGGGGCAGGAGTTGGGAATGCCTCCCAGGTAGACTGGGACTGGGACACAGAGGGTAGACAGACACAGCACAGCTAGTGAAAAAAAGATGGAGAAAGTATAAGGTGAGGACCGGCCTCTTGGGAAGCTTCTTGAAGAATGAAAAATAATAAAATAAAAGTGGCCTAGCCTGGTGTGGTGGCTCACGCCTTTAATCCCAGCATTCAGGAGGCAGAGGAAGGTGGATCTCTGTGAATTCGAGGCCAGTCTGGTCTACAAAGTAAGACCAGGACAGCCAATGATACAGAGAAACCCTGTCTTAAAAAAACAAGAGAGAGAGAGAGAGATGGGGGTGGGACATTCGTTAGTTCAGGACAGCCAAGGCTACACAGAGAAACCCAGAGACCAAAAAGATAGATAGATAGATAGATAGATAGATAGATAGATAGATAGATAGATAGATAGATAGA